TCGGGGAGGGAGATGTAGCCAGGAAATGCCTGGCTCAATGTGGTCTCTGGCATTATCGGCCAAGGAAGCAGCCGAGTGTCTCCTCCGTGCAGGTCGACTGCTTTCGGTTGTTTCTGGTTGCGTAGGTTCATCTGGAGAAAAATTACTTTAATGTTTTTTATATTAAATCAGAAAGAACCCATCAACCAACAACTGGATGAAACTGGATGAGAAACTGAAATGACTTGATAAAAATTCAAATGAAACCTGCAAAAAATTATGATTAAAAGAACAATTTAATCATAAAAACACGCATTAAAAATGTTTGTATTATAATTACATAGGAATTTTGTTACCGTTGTCTAGTTATCGATTCTCGAAATCAACAATATCAAAATTTTGCATCTTACTCGAGGTGAGAAGAGGTGTGTTTTTTTCCGATTCTCTATCATGACTCATTCATTACTTAAACGCTACCTAATATTCAATTTTAAAGCCTTTTTGTTATGGAAGCTTCCAAAACTATTTCCAAAAAAATAAGGAGTAAGCCACCCAACCACCAATCAAGGATTTTGCTCTTCAAACTCAGCATGTTAATAGTTACACAACAGATAAAAGGCTGAGCCAATATTTTTTCCTTTTTCTATTGTTCCTACTTTCGAAGAAAGTGACGGAATAACTGTGCGCGGTGTGGTTTTTTCAGACCAATTTCGGCTAATTTTGACAAATATTCTTTTTATCAGCCTAAAAGTATCATGGGTGTATATGAAAACTAAATAACTTTGTACTTTAGATAGCGTATGGGGAATGGTTTTCACATTTAAAAAAATGAAAAATGAATAAAAAACTTTTGGTTTTTTCGAAAATTTCATCAATTTTTGTCTAGCGAATCAGAACATTCAGGGCTTTGACTTAATACGATCAGCCGTATTCAACACTTAGCTCTTAAACGTTATACAGCAGTTCACGTGTCTGCACAACATTGTAGGTAGACGGTTTAAATTTTTCCAGAAACTTTTTGCTGCTGGCTATTTCATCGAGGAAACTCAAAAAATCAGACCCCTTCGGTTCTGATGCTTTTGTTAATTACACTATTCTACGAATATGTCGGACAACTATTCGATAATATCCCTTGAATAAATATGGTAAAAATCAATTCCTCTTGTTCGTTGTTATATAATTCCTTGCGACTTGGGTTGACATAAATCTATAATCACTTATCGAACAAAATATTGTTGTTCCTTCTTTCGAAGAAAGTGACAAAATATTTGTGCTCGGGTGTTTTTTTTCGACATATTTCGATTTTTAACTAGCCGTTTTTAAAGAACGTTTTCATATGATTTGAAAAGTATTGTTGTCTTGAGTTCATATTTAAAAAGATATTCCACCTGTGATCATTTCTTATAAAAATTAGGGGGCTCAAAGATTGCCATTTTGACCATTTTGGGACGCTTAACGCGCGAAACAAGCGAAGATTTAATCCGTCTCAGGAATCGTTCAAAAATGGTTGACCAGGCTATTTGCCATAATTGCTGTTACTAGGAGTGAATCTGTCCTTTTATACTTTATATGGTTTGATTTTTAAAAAGTTATAAATAAAAAAAACCTTTTTTAAAAAAAATTCATCAATTGTTACAAAACGAACACTGCTTCTAAGAACTAATACGGCAGTCTGAACATTCAGAGTTTCACCGGGATACGAGCAGTCGGGTTGTCCCATACAAAAATCTATACTTTTTTTAATTACACATTTTTCAGGTGTATTTATACAATACGTCAAAATTTCCACGTTTTCCGTAAATGACGCAACATTTTTATTACGGATAAGTTGGAATAAACAAAATTTCCTTGATTTTATAAGTGGTGGTAAGAATTGCCAGGCCACCATAGATACTTGCAACTTGTAGCGTCATTTTTTGTGACTGAACATATGGCTACACAGGAACCAATTATCGCGCGACATGTGGAAAATTATTATTCATAATAGATTCAAGGTGCTGCTCTGAAATTCTTTAAAATTGAAAGTAATGAAAATTTTTGATCAAAATGAAATATCCGATTTAAAATGGCGCGACATATCAAAACTAATTAATCTTATTATATTCAATGATCTGCTCTGAATGATCTCAAAGTTGTCAGTAAGAAAATCTTTGATCAAAAGACAAAATTCATTTTATATAGCATTAGGACATCCAATTTAAAATGGCCTGTCGTGTCAAAAATGATTAATCATAATAAATTCAATGTTCTGCTCTGAATGATCTCATAGGTCATTTTATATAGCATTAGGACATCCGATTTAAAATGGCACGTCGTATCAAAAGTGTTTGATCAAAATGATTTCAATGTTCTGCTCTGAATGATCTCAAAACTGTCAGTAAAAAAGTCTTTGATCACGTCGTATCAAAATTGATTAATCAAAATGACTTCAATGTTCTGCTCTGAATGATCTCAAAATTGTCAGAAAAAAATCTTTCATCAAAAGACAAAAGTCATTTTATATAGCATTAGGACATCCAATTGAAAATAGCCTGTCGTATCAAAAATGATTAATCATAATAGATTCAATGTTCTGCTCTAAAGAATTTTCAGTAGAAAAATCTTTGATCAAAAGACAAAAGTCATTTTATATAGCATTATGACATCCGATTTAAAACGGCACGTCGTATCAAAAATGATTAATAATCATAAATTCAATGTTCTGCTCTGACTGACCTCGAAACTTTCAGGATTGAAAGTTTCTGAACAAAAAGTCTTTTATTACTGACAAACATCATGGCGTGACGTAAGGAAATTGATTTATTATAATATATTCAATATTCTGCTCTGACTGACCTCAAAATTGTCAGTAATAAAAATTTTTGATTAAAAATAAAAGTGTTTTTCAAAATTGTTCTGGTAATCCGATTTGAAAGAAAATCAAAATGAAGTGTGGGAAATGTGAGACCTAGAGCAAAATTTTCTAAGAACAAACAATAAAACTTAATTATTATTTTTTTGAAATTATGAGCTTTTTTCATTGAGTTGACATGCATTGCTAGCTAACACGGCTGCTAAAAATAAAAACAGGCATGCAACCCTACAGCCCCTGACTGACTTCATCATTACTTCCAGCTCCCTGTGTCTAACTATGTTGATCTGGAGCATAAAAAGGTCGTTTCCAACTTAAGCAAAAATTGTGGAACTTTCTTGAACCGAGTGATCAAGCAACCCCGGTAATCACTTTATTTAGCATGGAGATCATTCACTTCTTTAAAAATTTCATATTCGGAACCGATGAGTTATAACCGAAGTGGTTAACTCATAGAGTAATTTCGGATAGGGTACACCGTCTGCTCGTCACGCTATCGTATTTTCGGCCGGATAGATTCGTGCAACTTCTTAGTCTAATACCGATCCTAATCTTACTCTTATACTTACTAGTCTCAGGGTGTTTAACTAGTCTCTGCTAGGCTCAATAGATCTAGGGTATACTGGTTTATTGCGGCTGCTGAAGTTCTCTCGGAGAGGCAACTAATTTCTAAGTTAAATTCAAATCTCTCTGATGCTGAAATTACAAGTAATTTCAGCTCTTACAAATAAGTGGGTTGTTAGTTAGATGGATTATGATTGGTTAATATTAAATAAATTACAGTGGTAAAACATTTAATTTATCCAATTATAAAATGTAATTTAAATCAGGTTCCACCCATCCGGGTTTTACAGAGTTTTTTAGAATTATCTTTCTGCAATTCAAAGGATGGATGATGAACGTTGGTATTTGGCGAACATCATCACTGTTGTCCGGTTCCTCTTGTTAAGGAAGTTCCAGGACGCTGGAGTTAGGGACATACAATCGTTGCGTCGTCTTGTGACAACGACTGTGATCCCCAATGAAATCAATCTGATTTCAAAATGATTTGCTATGACGGGTTTTCTTGTATTCTGTAGAGAACTTGTTTTGTGTGCAGCCTCGTCTGGGAATGGCGTCAAGATCGTGTTTGGAAGTGATGCCTTGTAATTCGGGTCTGTACGTATACTTGAGCATCGAGGTGGTCATTGGTCTAGTTCAATGAAGTCCTTTTCTGCGAAGTCAAGTCGTACTCTAAATCCTTTGAGTTGTGATTGTGGAAGGCATATCGGTTGTGATTAGCCATTCTTTGTTCGAGTGTGATGGGATCGTCTAGTCTTTAGATGTTCGTCTTTGTTGTTGTGTGTTGATCTATATACTGCAAAGTATGATTTACATTTTATAAAGTCATATTAGTTCGGTTTTTTAATCATGAATTTAGTTAGTTGTTTTCACAAAAGCGTTTTGTTTTAGTTCGGTTATTTTGAAGAGTTACTCACCCTTGAGTACCTCTTATTAAAAATAGATGTGTGGTCACAAAGCGTGGACGTAGCGCGGTGGGTTAGGCCGGCTATAGAGCATGCTCAGGACGTCCTCTCTGGTGGGTTAGGCCAGGAGTGGGAGTATGATTTCGTGCTGTTTCTTTGAGAGGTCCTGTTATGTGATAACGTTTTAAGTTGGGTTTATGTTGGTCTTTTTTATGTTACTTTGGTTGTGTCCTTTTTTCAAAAATCAAATTGTTTTTGGTATGGGTTTGTCTTGCGACTTTTTGTGTTTTATTATTTCTTTTTTAGACTTTATAATAGTCTTCAAAAGAATAAATTATCCAGTTTTAAACTGGATTAATCCGGTTTGGGTACCGTTGGTTTTCTTTTCTTAGTCATGCTGTTATTTTATGATTTGTGGTGTTTAGTAAGCTGCGTTGGTTAGTTTGGTTTAGTATATAATTCCTTTCCAACCGGGTTAAAGGAAAGTTTGAAACTTGTTATCGTGTGTTAGAATTGTTGAGTGTGAGAACTTGAAACCTAAAATCATTATTTAAACAATTCTTCGTGGGCCAGCTGTGCGAGTTTCGATAGAATTCCTGTGCGAGTGAATGAAAATATCAAAAGGTTAGTACTGCATTTTCATTTTATTAATTTATTACATAGAATTTTAATTTTACTGCATTTGGGGGAAATTTTAAGTTATAAATTTTCATCGTATTGAATTTTACTGCTTCATGGGGAAAAAATTAACGATTAATTTACTACATTTGGTATGAATTTTATTTCATTTTTTAGTGCAAGATATTATTAAATTTTAGAAAATTTTTAACAAGTT